TTCACTCCCTATTTTATGTAAAATGTAGATTTCTTGGGCTTCACAAGAATGTAGCCACTACCTCGTCTGGTACCCTCTACCCCACCTTTATCCTTCTCTTTGTATGCCTTTAAAATGCTGAAAGTTTCAACCTCTCCTTCAGAAAAAAACAGCCACAGTTTGTCTGCAGTTGGTGTTTTTCCCAGTGCATCCTCAAAATCTCGGCTTAATAAGCCTCCATTGATTGAGATTTTTGCCTCACTCATTTATTTGGGTTGATACTGGGTTCTGAGAACTTACACTTCAGAAAAGTAATTTAATCTTTGGTTGACTCTTCATCCGCGTGAACCTTCAAACAATTTTATTCCACAGTGGAACCATTACATCCAATGTGATGGGAGTCCTGATCCTTCCATAGCCCAAGAAATGAATACTTTCATTAGCTTATGGAAAGAGGAAACAAATGAGACTTTTGAGGAAGTGATTGAGAAGAGTAAACTAGTACTAAATGTAAGTATTTAAATATTATCCTTTAAATTGTTTATTACAAATAGTCTGATATTGACTCCAAAAATAAAAGTAAATTAATGTATTATGAACTCTTGGCTATAGAGAGAGGTATTTGCTAATCTTCTCATTTTGTTTCTTTTTACAACTCCTAAAAATTTCTTGCCACCTTAGATAAGGTCAACATAACACATAAATGTGAAGTAATCTTTGTCTAATTCAAGCTGAAAAAAAAAATCAAGATGCATGCATTTATGTAGATAACTTGTGGGGATGGGGAAAGTAGGTGATTTTATTGTCAGCTGAAATTATCCACTGTTGAGTAATTCAGCACCCATGACTTTTAGTGTTTACTAGGTGCCAGGCATACACTCCTTTAGGCACTGGGGGTACAAAGATTAGTAAGAATAGCCTAACTTCTATTGCTGCAAATAGAATGGTTAGGCTAGCCTGAGAAGCTTCTACTTTACAATGCACTTAAGAATACTGGGAAAGAATATTTAATGACTTAAATCCGTTGCCTACTTCATGAAAAAGTAAGAGAAAACGTTAGAGGCCATAAAACAATCCAGAAAGTGAGAAAGTCTCAAAGCTAGTGGCTTTCCAGAGATTATCTGCTAACCCCTAGTGCTTAGCAGTGGTTTAAAGGGCCATCAGGAGACAGAGTCTAGGGTACGTGCAAGCTGGCAAGTTGGATCAGAGACCATGTATGTCTGGGAGTCTCAAAAGGTGTTACAAATAATAGGTCAAAAATCCACTCTACAAAAGGAGATAATAAGAAGATGTGCTTGGCTCATCTTTAGCTTAGTGAAGGGGAAACACAGATGTCTCCACTGAGAATTCTTAATCATGAGTGAATCAGAAGTTGGATTGGAAGAATTTACCAGAATACAGCAAAAAGAGTTGGAAAATATGAAAGAGTTGTTAACAGACATGTTTGATAGAGCAAGAAGGTCTAAAAATACACGGAAAAGGAGTATCAGAAGGAGATAGAGAAGAATGGAAGAAAGACAATATTCAGAAGAGATAATGAGTAATGATTTTCCAGAATTGATGAGATATGAATCCTCTGATTCAGAAAGCCCAAAAAATTTCAAGTAAGAAGAAAAACTTTTTTTTATGCTTATAACACTTCTGATGCCAAATGTGTGTGGGGTTTTCCCACACCAATTCTCGAACTTGTCAGACAGCAGCTGGGTGTCTTACAATTCAGTGCTGATATTTAATATTAACTACTGGAGTTAGTACAGATCCCACAGGTTAAGGGCTCAGCACTGCAAGACTGCCTGTCCCCTTCCAATCACAAGTTCCGGGTTGTCATCTGTACTTCTGACCAAGCAGCTATAAATCAGGAGTCCCCACTACCCGCTCCTCATGTTAGGTAACTTGCTATAATGGCTCATAAATTCAAGGAAACATTTGTTTACATCTACTGGTTTATTACAAAGAATATAAATGAACAGCTAGATGAAGAAATACATAGGGTGAGCACGTGTAGGAAGGGGCATGGAGCTTCCATGCCCTCTGTGGGCACACCATCTTCCCAGCATTTCCATGTGTTCACTGGGCCAGAAGCTCTCTGAACCCCATCATTTAGGGGTTTTCTGGAAAACCTCATTACATAGTAAAGATTGATTAAATCACCGGGCATTGATGATTAGCTCTATCTCTAGTCACTCTTTTCTGCCTGGAGGCTAGAGAGTGGGGCTGAAAGTTCCAGCCTCTAATCACATGGCTGATCCCCCTAGCAATGGGCTGCCATCCTGAAGCTACCTAGGGGCCCATCAAGAATCACCTTATTAGCAAAAACTCAGGTATGGTTAAAAAAGGTGTATTATGAATAGCAAAATAGGCTCTTAGCACCACTTGTGAGGGTTTTAGAAGCTCTAGAAGCCAGGAGTAGGGGGCAGAAATTTCTTCAGATTTCTACACTTAAACACAACTACATATTAATAGAAACTAGAAGGAATTCACTCCTCTTATT